GAGAGATATTATCGCAGGCGTAACCACGATTCTAATTTTAATCTATGTCGTGGTTGTACACATCGAGTTAAGAAGGTGAAATGCAAAATCAACAGATACCAACTCTGTGCTTGGGGCGGATTTCCACTTAAAACTAAATTTTATTTTCCTTATTCGTGGATAGAAAATGGAGCGGCTGCAAGAAATAATACCTAAGGAATTCTCAGAATCCTAAGATCAGAAATTAAGCACCAACTATTGTGGACGCTCCAACTAAGTTCTTGATGGATTTGTGCAATTGTTGTATAAACTTATTTGACATAGGTTTATACAACTATGTTCAGAAATTTCAAATATTTTGGGCAGGTCGTCGTCCGTATCAGTCGTCCTCACAAACTACATTCGCAAATAACATTCGGTCCTGGGAATTGTTATGGTAAGATTCTTATCCCTTTCCACCTCTCCACCAAATGTGAAATAATACGACAATTCGGCTGCTGTGCCCACCGCATTCCAAAATTGCAATTTTACTTTCTCACAAATGACTGAATATTGTTACCAAGGAAAAGCCAGAACTCCTTAAAAACAATGCAGCAGTAGTAGGCAGCTGCTAAAAACACGATGCTAAGTCCTTTACAATTTGTATCGTCACAGAGTATCTGGCAGAACATTTTAATCATAATGATAGCCTTGAATCATCACCCAGCCGTTTTTGTGTTCAACCATTTACCTCCATTGTGGACGTTTATGCATCACAACAACGGTAGGTAGATATGTAGGTAGATTCGATTGATTGTCAGTAGGGGAGAACATAACGAAAACTCACAACAATGGCAACGTAAAATAACATCCATCCGGATGGAAATTGATATCAGACAATTTGTTTTACAGGAACGAGAGGTTCTCATTCGAACAAGGAAAGGCAATATGTCAATCGAAAATTAGAAAAGTTGTATTGTTTCAGTGAGAGTGACGGGAGCGAAATAACATATTGTGGCCAAGATTTATTGAATCAACTTTCCCTTTGGGTACCCTGCTGTTATTTTGATTACGAGGCAATGTATTTAGATTTGTCCTAAAATTGGTTCGTGACGTTTGCCATTTTCAAGTGTCAAAAAGACAACAGACGAAATTTTAAAATAGTTTTAACATTGCTAGGATAAAAAGGACCATATGCAGGAAGCTGCATAATGACACAATTGCTGTTGTCGCCAAATTATATAATTTTGATTGCGCGCGTCTCATGTTTTCGTTTGTTGTCCATAGGCCAGTCATTGAAAGTTAGGGTCCAAACGAAAATTATGATTGGTGATCTAAATATTTTTTGCAAATTATTATTTTCAATATTAACAATATCCTTAAACAATGCCTACAAAATTCCATATGATTACTTTGCAAGCCAACAAATGCATTAACACATATTTCTTCTCTTGTCTTGCAGGATTAAGACATCACAACGTCCAGACGAAAGATAGCCCTAGCGTACAAGGTAAGCGAACAATTAATATTTTATTGAGTAAAATGAGATTTGAATGCATTCAAATAAGTTAAGTTCATATTGACATGTATATGTTCCTGATTGCTGTATTGTAATTAAAAAACATCCGAATGAGCTACACTTTTCGGAAGACAAATGTCAGATGAAACACATTAGCCACATAACATTCTTTCTGGATGCAAACACACACAAACTGACGCTCTAGCTATTACTAACCATATAGTGAAAATCTAACGTAGATTTAGATTTATATTAATTTATTGGTGGCCAATTGCATGGCGAACTATCCCTATTATTCATATTAAACGTTGTTTATAAACAGTATGACACTACTAGCATGCTTTTTATCTACGTAGGAATTATATACCACTGGCACTAACCACAAAAAAGAACATGCAAACGTAATTGTGAAGTTTGACCGTGACTCTATTGACTAGTCTACCCCTGTCCCGCTGCTCATCTGTGCACCTTCCCATTTATGGATCGTCACTGTCATGTGTTTAGAGTCTATAATTAATAAAAATATTACCGCATTAAATGTTTAGTGCCGTGTGTTTGCTTATTTACTTTGGCATTGGCCTTTGAATGGATGAATTGACGAACGGCGGAGGTAGAATAGTGGACTGGGTGCATTGTTGCTGACACCAGAGAAGTAAATGAACACGTCTGGAAGTCATCCAAAGTACATGTTGAAAGAAACGTTGAAATACCTACCAAAGGTATATCCATATTTACTCCAGAGATTTAAAGTGCTTTACTATGAAGTGTATCGCTCTACCTACTACCTTTCATTGGAGATTACATTTAATAAATGTGAATATCACAAATCATTAGGGAGCATCAACCTATATGTACACTTTTAAGACTCTAAAAATTGTGATCTCTGACGTGATTTCAACAGATAGACGGAAACATGTCTAAATCGACAGAATCTGATCCAGAAAATATACTTGATGGAACCTCCAAGGTATATTTCGAGCTATTGCAACGGAATGAAGAATTAATTATAACCCCACCTTATGGTGGCGGGTATTAAAATATTATGCCATTAAATGTTTAGTGTCGAGTATTGCTTATGTACTTTAGCATTGGCCTTTTTATGGATGAGTTGACGAATGTGAAATCGTTATATGGTAGCTGACAGCATTGAAGTAAATCAAAAACTCTGCATACCATCCTAAGTACATTTTGTCAGAATTACGAATGTCTAGCAAACTGAATGTCCACAATATATATATATATATATATCCTTATTTGTTAATCGACTAAAGGGAGGTAGTACCCTACCGTGTCCAACTGAAATCTCATGAGATTGAAGCGCTTAACAGTAAGTGGATATAGGTTCGTTTGCTATGAAACTTGCCGTTCTGCTATCGCCGCTTTTCCGCTGCATTTAAATGTAGACGAGTCTAAATAGTTGTCGACTCCCATGAAACTGTATACGGCATAGCATGGTCAGACTTTCAATAACAACGCCTGTTCAACTTTGGATATATACTTTATTTTAAGCCCTCATATGTAACTAACATCGTGCTTTTTTCATTTTGTTATTACGGTAAAAACTAATCTCTTTATTCACCATTTTCTTTTTGAATTATTGCGTATGTTTTGTTGTGTTGTTTGACGTGTCGGTCTCAGTTACATGAAGCTGCATCAGACATTTGTGAAACAAATGACGCTATTATCAACTAGGTAAACGTGTGTAGAGTAATTTTACGAAGCCTTGCAAATGAGCTTAGCATCGATAAGATGTTCCTTTATTGTCATAAAATGATCAGTGGCTAATTGCGTTGGTATGAATAAAATTTGGATATACATATACGAACATCCTCAACCCACTTACTAGGTGCGTAACCTCGTTGGATTATCGCAGTTTACAGTTCATATGAAAATATTCGACCCTTGAAATTATTTGTTTCCATTGTCATAGACGGCAGTTATTTCAATTGGTCAGCAATTTATCCATGACTGCATTGACTTTCATGCATGACAGCCTGCCCAGTTGGGTGTATTGGTCCAGTGCCGCCAGACGTACAAACACTATGTTTGTTTATGGTGCCAACTGAAGTTTCATTTAGTAAAATGTAATTCTTGTATTTTTTCACTATATAAAGCGCTCAGGGCGTGGTCATCGATGCTACAGGCAAAAACTTATATTTGGTCTCCCCATTGGATTCCACTACCGCTTTGTGCTACCGGCGGTATAGCTTGTCTAATGGTGTAATTTTGAGTGTGTTATTTGTGTAAATAGGAACATACATAATAGTTGACGATGGCATTCAGATAAAACCTTACTACTTTCATATAAACGTAGGCTATCCGTAATGTTGAAGTTGTCACTAAATCGACTAATTATTTGGCTTGATTTTCTTAGGTCTAAAATTGAGCAACATGGGTCATATTATCTTCTATTTTAAAATTATTTTTCTTAAAACACGTCATATCGTTGTGGCTTTTTTACAAGGAGGCCCAAATATGTTAAGAACAAATCTGCACAATACTCGAGTCGTTCAGAATAAGACACATCTGTGTATAATATCTTAGCTGGAGTTAAACCATTATTGTTGGATTTTATTCTTAAAACACAACACCATATCCAAATGGCGAAACATCATTTGAACTTGAAATCAGTAACCGGTTTAGCAATCTATGTTCGCCAGTTTTATCAATGAACCAAAGTCAATGACTCAATGGTATTCATCAACTTCTAACTGGTATCGGTCAGAAGTAAAGTTTGCCAACAATTTTTCAATTAAGGGAACCCCCCATTCTCGATTTTAATTTTTCAAGATTTTCAATGGGCTGGTAAATCAATACCAATGCTTGTTAATGTTTGTAATTAAAGAAAAGTCCTTATTTTTGATGGCGGGCATGATAACTCCCCACTGGAACAGGGCGCTACGATAACTCACTGATGCAAGAAATTGCATACGTTTCTGTTCGCTGCCTGTCCTGAGAAATAATTCTTTTTCAGTCGCATCTCTGTTGTAAAGCACAAGCCAATGCAACTAGTTTGAATCATAAGAGAAAGCACGATGCATGCGAATGAATAACCGATATTACTTGCTTTCGACCTATACGATCGAAGCTAAGCCGGAAAAGCCGCTATAGAACAAAAAATTGTACAGGACGAACGTCATGAGGAGCAAGACTTAATCTAATGATAAACATACGAGTAACAGTACATGAACCGGTCAGACAACACACAGTTATCCACTAAAGCTTTGGCGGACAAAGAAGAACAGATGCACATACTTACATGAATTAGATGAAATGTTTTGCACAAATGCAAAATGTTTTTTTATGTTTAAGCTCATTTTGTATATTTTAATATGTGTGGCATGCTATTTACTCCAATAAGCTTATTAATTACATTTACTTTCATTGAAGGCTCTCACCGAGAAATTACAAAAAGAGTGAAACCCTGCGACTTGCGGACCATATGCCGCTAGATTCCCGATAAAACCTATCTAAGGGTACCTACCGAAACAAGCCAGGTGCTGACATATTTGAGTATATCATCATGGCACGGACAAAAGTTATTTTGAAAGTCCTATTTACGCTCTGCGTTTGGTCCTTTGTGATAATAGGCGTGTTCAAAATGCACGGTACCAACATTGTGCCTCAAGAGTATGTTTCCGTACCCTTGAGCGGTCGCATACTGCTACAAAAGGATGTCCTAAGGTACGCCGAGACGACTTCGACAACAACAGACCGTTTCGATCCGTCCGAAATACTGATAGACAATAGAACCGGTAAGATACAACATTACTTCGCCCGTTGTTACCAGTTTGCAGACTGTCACCAACGACGGGAGCCGTATTTTTTAAAAAATACATATGTATTATATTTCGTCAATTTGTTTTTATTTTATTCCAGCTATGGACGATGATCAACTTGTGAGGGATGTTGAATCTAGGATACCGTCGCTACCGATAGCATACTGGAGTAAAAACAAGAATTTTCTCCAACAGAAATCATCCACGTGTGCAAAGTACCCATCGATATTTGAGCTGGAATTCAATAACATATACTGGCAAACGATGCGGACCAGTAATGGGACATTCCAACTATTCGGGGCATACTACGACATTCGAAAGAATTCACTCTTGGGCCCCACAGTACGAATTCTAGGAATGATTGATCGCATCGAACCGAAAGTAAAAACTTACTGTCAGTTCTGGTTCGACGGCCAAAAGGAACCATTCATCGTCAAGACTTACGAGTACAAGTACATCTGGTACAACAAATGGGGTAACTACAAACAAGGCATCTACCAACCATATTTGATCGCATGTCAAATACCTAAACCCTTCCACGGTGTTGTGCCCAGTTCAGTGTCGATGGTGGAAAAGGAGTGTGATACAGCCACAAACAATTTAAGAGTTATATACAATCGACCCCCTGATGACCAGAAAAAAGGTTTTGCGGTCTGCGTCAAGGGATTGGACTTCCTGTACGACGATTTGTCGGTGCGTCTAATCGAGTGGATAGAACTCTTGAACATGCTAGGCGCTGACAAAATATTCTTCTACAATCTACAAGTACATCCAAATATTTCAAAGGTGCTAAATCACTACGAGCAAGAAGGAAAAGTGAGGGTTATACCCCTGACCTTGCCCGGCGGACAACCTAACGTGCCGGGTTTTCAGCATCTCTACCTAACCAAAAAGACAAACCACAAGCGGCAGAATGAAGTGATACCCTACAACGATTGTTTGTACAAGAATCTGTATCTTTACGATTATATTGCGCTGCTGGACATAGACGAAGTTATAATGCCGAAGGGCAATTTTGTTTTATGGTCGGAACTAATGGCTAAAGTTGTTCCAGATTCCCTTAAAGTTCGGCCAGAGGGATATCACAGTTTCAATTTTCGCAACGTGTACTTCCTGGATGACCAGCAGCATGAACATGGTTGGCACAAGGACATACCGAAATATATGCACATGCTGCAGCACGTCTACCGGGCGAAGAACTACACGAAACCAAACCAGTATGTCAAATGTTTTCACAATCCCGAGAAGGTGCTGACACTGCACAATCATTTCCCATTGGCATGTCTGGGAGGTGTGTGCAAATCCTATCCCGTAGATACTAAAGATGCCCACTTGCAACACTATCGGGCGGACTGTGTCAACACCCTAAAGAAGTCTTGCGAAGAATTCAGGGAAAACTCCGAGGAGGACAAAACCATATGGAAGTACAAGGATGAATTGATACGACGAACCATTAAAGCATTAGACACGCTGGGCTTCTTCCGACGCTCTTCCGGCACCTACGGCAGTGGTTATGGGTCAACAACACACTCTTCAGAACGGTGATTACCAAGTTCCTGGTGGTCACTGACCGTGCCAGCATGGTGGGGCATTCTACGCGGGGGTAAACAACTACTTAGTGAACCAGCTATAACCACCAAAAATGTGGCTAAAACAAGTAGGAATCATTTTATACATAACTTCAACAATATATAGCACATCACCAACCCAGGAGATAATTGCAACAATCTATCTTCCAATATCGGTAGTCGAAAACAACCTCATAATACTTTTAGGCAGAATCCTAATGATAACTCCACAGTTGTGACAATTTACTCAACAAAATAGCAACAGCTAGTCTTTACAAAAGATAATGAAACCATAAAGTCGAAGACCTGAAGTAGCTTCCAAGTCGTTCGTAAATTGTGGAATTAATGATGTATTCCATTTTAATTAAATTTTGCCCGTAATTAAAAATATGCAATTCTGATCAAGTAGGGATAGGTTCTGTACTCAGCTTTGCGTGTCCTCCTGGATTTCCCAAAATAAAAGTTGCCATTTGGATTTCTCTGAATATTCCGATATAACAGAATCGATGCACTCTCCATTCTAGTTGATTTCGAAGGATATATATTACATCGTAAAAGTAGAACATAGTTTTTAAGTACAACCAATACGGTAACACAAATAGCTTAAGACAACAATTTATTATTTCAAAAATGTGCCTTGAAAATCAGAATTACATTGTTATAGAAAAAGATAAGCGTGAATCTAATTGCTTTAATACACCATATGACTGTACATTAAAACTCTATATCCGGAACCATATTGTAAAATATAAAATTGTAAATTTAAAGTGTGTCCAAAGTCGCCAAGGGGCGGGACAAATTTGAAAGTGCATCACAGATATTCACTAGTACATCCGAGAAGTTGCCACTGAAAACCATTCACAAGAAAGTAAATCCCCAAATGATTGAAACAACTACGCGCATAATTAAACGAGTTTTCGACTCCATTGAAATTGTTTCTCCTCGATTTATTCACAAATCAAATTAAAAATTGTTTAAAGAGTTAAGTTAAAGACTGAATTTTTAGAAAATTGTTCATTAATGTTACGAATAGTTAATAATATATATTCATACATAAATACACGCAGACCTACTATATGTATATATACAAAATAACTATGTATCTAAAATATGTAGCGAAGGAATTCTTAGATGTAATTTAATATTAAGGTTTATTTCGAAGAAGCGATGAAAGATTTACATTGTTGTCATCATCGATGAGCTTTGCATTCGATTTTGTGGGCATCCAAAGCTGTCGTTTGCTTTGAATATAGTTCAGAAGCATTTAACCATACAATGCGCTGATCCAGAGGTGGCCCATACATTGGCTAATGATTGCAAGCACCACACAGAAATTCATGTAATGTAAATAATCAAATTCAATTGAAGTCACTTCATCCTGTATATATCTAAATAATTTTGAATTATAAGTCTCAATTATTATTATTATTTACAATATTTACGTTGAAAAACATTACTGTACTTAAGATGGAATTTTGGCATTATTTTTACAGTTCACATACATTTGTTTTGTACCGACATGAATAAAATTCATTTGTACAACATTACACTGAACTATGTATGTAAATAGCGTGTAGCAGCAACACTATTAATGTTTAATAATAAAAAATACAATAAAATAAAGTGGTCGCCGTTGTTTTATTAATTATAATACCCTCCACCATAATATGTCATTACGTCTGCAACACATCTAAATATTCGTCGGATATACCATATACACATATATTCTTAATTCAAGTGAAATTCCACGTCGCTTTGACATGACCGTCCGTTGAAATCACAGTAGAGTTCGCAATATTTAAAGTAAAACTTTGAAAATTTGCACACACACACCTCATTGCAACCTGTAGCGTAATTGGTATTTTGATGGGCACAACCGCATGTGCCATCATGTTTTGAGATAGTTCAGTCGCTCTATATAAAATTCCGCCTCACTTTCATGTTCCATAAACGTTTAGTATGTTTTAAACGGAATTGTCGAATTGGAACATTGCAAATAACATTTATAATAAGTGTGCACATCGGCACTACCTATTGTTTAATTCTTAAACTCCGCCATTTGGAGTAGTCTAATTTTCACTCCGCCATGGGAATGCTTTAATTCGTAATCTCCGTAAACTCTTAATTTTCGTAAACTCCGATTTCATCACACAAATTATTCTATGGGAGATCCACTCAGTAAAATGTGTATTGATTTTAATTATGTGTATTGATTTTAATTATGTGTACTCTAATGTAGATTTTTTTATGAATGTAGAACTTATAAAATCTAATATAATTGTATTTTTAAATGAGTAGTGCAACTTAATAATAAACTGGCTGTTGGGGTAGATTCTGTAGCTGGTTTTATAATTCTTGGCCATAGTTTATTTCTTAAACTTATAAGCGTGGTGTAATTATTAAGCTCGATCCATTGGCTGGCACATCACATGGCTTATTTAATCTCTAATTCTTCAAATTCATAAACACCGCCTATAGAAGCAATCTAATTCTAAAGCCCATGGAACAGGTCTTATTATTTACCTCCGCACATATGAGTGTTTTAATTCTTAAAATCCGTCCATGGGCGTGTTCTTAAACTACGTCCATTTACCTGGTATAACTCATAAGAGTGGTTTAAATATTAAGCTCTACCTTTCGGAACATCACATGGTTTATTTAATCTCCGCTAATAGTTGTCTTATAATTCTTAAAATCAGCCATAGGAGTAGTCCAAATCTTAAACTCCGCACATGGGACTGGTCTAATTATTTACCTCCACTCATAGGCGTGTTTTAATTATTAATCTCCTACCATATATGTAGTTTAATTCTTATCCGTTCATAGTCGTAGCCTAATTAATAAATTCTGCCCATCGATGTGCCGACGATTATTTTTGGTCTAATTCTTAATCTCCGCTCTTGGGTGTATTCTAATTCTTGAAATTCTCCTATAGGGGTTCTAGTCTTAAGCCCGCTCATAGGCGTGGTGTAATTGTTAATCTCAGACACCGCCCTATTAAAAGGACACTAAAAATTCCTATTAAAATCTGAAAGTTTATGATGGTAGAAGAAAATTCCTTGCCGCCCTATTAACCCTACGGTCAATAACCAAAAAAGTATACGTAGATCAATAACCGTAGTACATTTGTACCCATCTAAAGATAGCGCTGTAATTCATTAAAAAATTGGACTATCGTGCGGTTTTTTGTTTTAAATTAGTCTGTACGGATCTGGTCTAGATGTAGGAAATTAAAAATTATATATACATTAAAAGAATGTATATTTAAATCCATGTTTAAATTATACTCTATCTAAAACAATCATAATAATTTCGTTGTAGCTTTCGAATGGGTTAAGCTTTTTTAATTATTTTTTGATAGGGATCTTATTTAGGTGTTACCCAATTCCTCTGCAAATTTTTGTGGCCCTAGACAACACAGGCCCATCAGGGTGGTTCGTGGAAGTCAGAAACTACCTTGATTTTCCTTTGGTATACAGGTGCTTATACAGTTATTATTGTCGATTATTCACATTTTATGATTTTAGAGATGTGATTTGCGCATTTTTAACATACTTTAATACTTTAAAGCGTTATTTTATGTTAGTTTATATATGTACGTCAAATTAGATTCGTAATAAATCAATTCGTTTAATGTATATATAATTTAGAGTTCCAACATTTAGATCAGATCCGTACAGACTAATTTAAAACAAAAAACCCCACGATACAGCGTTATCTTTAGGTGGGTACAAATGTACCACGGTTATTGATCTACGTAGGTAATAAGTTTAAAAAATTATAAAAATTATATATATTGAAAATATTTATATTTTTTCTTCAATTATGGGTGAAAATACCTCAACAATGATTCCTCAAAATTTGATCCAAATATCTCCACTATTGAAAATTTTACAGCATTTTTATTCGAAAAAAGGTACAAATGTACCCGGTTATTGACCGTAGGGTTAAAAAGACACAAACAATTCCTATTAAAGTCTGAAAGTTTATGATGGTAGAAAAAAATTCCTTGCTGTGTTTTGAATTATTAGCTAGGGTTTTTGTTTAAAGGTGTTTTTCGAAATATCACCCTTATTAGGGTTGGCGTTGTCGTGTCGATGATTGAGCCCTGTCGCAATTATACGACAAATCGGTGTTATGAAAGTCGTTACAATACGACAAATTTATCGTTCAAGATTCTTTTGACGGCAGCATACAACAAATATAAAAAGGTGTTAAAATTGCATTTCAACAATATTTACTGATTAACTGTTACATTAGACTTTATTTTAGTGCATTTCTCAATATTCATAAGAATTACACCTACCAGATAATGAATTAGAAAACATACTAAATGACATAACTTTTCCAATACAATATAAAAAGGGTTCTAAAAGTAAAATTTTTGCTTCGGTTTTGTAACAGAGTAAAGAAAAATCTATTAAAAAATTGGTGTTGTCGTAAATTTTACACAATTCCGACCAAAAACGACTACGGCAACACATTCGACTACGCCTACGAGAGCTGCCGTACAACGACTACGCCTACCGTAATAAGGGTGTATATATTTTTCGAAATATTAATACCATACTCAAAATGACACATCTGTCAAAAATATAAATTTTCGAAGCTTTTATGATTTTATGCATATAGATTTTATGCATAGAACGTGTTATTAATTCCAAATTTGATTTTAACTCGACCAACAATTAATGACCCGTTTGGATAGGGTGACTTTTTCACATTGTTATAGTGAAAATGAACCAATTGTATGTCCATAGAAAATTGTATGCTTTTTAAATACCATACAATTTTGTATCAACATACAATTGGTACCATCATAAGCTTTCAAATTTTGACGGTCCCGATTGGTTCAATATTTTCAGGTTGAAAAATGTTTTACAGTGTAATTATTAAACTCCGCCCAAATACATAGTTTAATTTAATTAATATAAGTGTGTTCTAATTTTTAAAATCCGCACATAGGAGTGATCTAGTTCTTAAGCTCCGCCCATAGAACTGGTCTAATTCTTAAGCTTCGTCCATATACGTAGTTTAATTATAGCTGTGTTA